CAGAGTGGGGTGTGTGGAGACCACAGAACTGGGTGTACTTGTTGAAGCCGTGCTGGAGGAGAGCCCCTCTGTGGCACACCCGACTGTCTCCTTCCTGTCTCTGCCGTGTCTGGCACTGGTTCGCCTGGTCCCTGTGGGTCTTCTCCCTTGTTAGCATGCATTGTCTGCCTTCGAGAGTGGGTAGCCCGTTTCATGAAGTAGTGAGTGGAGACGCCAGAGATGGCCCAGTTTGTCGATGTGTTTTTAGCAAAGGAGACCTGACCAAGGTCCCAGCAGAGAGGGTGACAATGAACTCCAGGGTCTTCGCAAGAGATGCATGTAGACAGCCAGGATTTGCGAGCTCAGTGCTGGGAGGTTGTCTGGGACAATAGAATGGCCAACTGAGTGGTTGGCTGTGTTTGTGGGCTGTGTGGAGCCCACCGCTCTGAGGTTCTTTGGTGTTGGCTCTGGTTGATGAGCTTGAAACAAGGGGGAGAAGAAAAGATGTTTCCTTTTTTTTTTTTTTTTTCCAGATTAGCTTGTCCTTTGATATATGTTCCAAGAACCGTAATTGAAAATAGATTTTTATTAGAAACCCAAAACAGAAATAATTTTTTCATGTATCTAGGACTCAACCTCTGAGGGTCGTGGGACACTCCTGAGCAAATTAATTTGTGGACAAATATGGAAATTAACAATACTCGGGAGCCGTGTTTAACGAGACGATACGGCTTGATTTCTTTCTGACATCTCCAGAATTCTACCATCCTTGTCGGAGTAGAAGATTCCAGCTTCATTCTCCTTTTATCTGATTTTCTTTTCTTTCTTTTTATTCTAGGATGATGGCCTCCCAGAAAATGAGCATCAGCTGTCAGTAGCTGGGAAGATAAAGAAGCATTTCAATACAGGTCCCAAGCCAAACAGCACCACCGCTGGCGTCTCTGTCTTAGCAGTAAGCATCTAAAATACCCACCTATACGTTTGGGGGGCTCACTGTGTGTTTTTTTAAAAAGCAACCCGCCAAAGAGACAGGCGTTTCTCAGGAGACCCTTCCGGAGGCGGCAGACTTGGATCATTTCTTTAGACAGCTTGACCACTTAACAGGGACGAGGTGGTTTGGAGCGTCCATGTGTTTTTGCAGCTCATTTCCCTGGTAGTCACATCATTATCCCACAACCTCAGGGGGTCTTGCAGTATATATTAATTTCATGATTTTTTTTTTTAAAGACAGAAAAGCTCTCTGGCTTTTGCCAGTGTAAACACTTAAGCGTTGGGAAAGCAAGAGAGTCCAGGGGGTCTTTTTGCAGAATGCTGAAGGGAAGGGAAGCTGAGAGACATTAGTGAGAAAGCCTGGAACACCCCGTAGACAGCCACGCCCACCCTCCTGCACAGGGATTTTCATAATAGTGTCAGATTAGTTTGTTTGTTTTTTACAGCAAGACGTAAACAACAACAACAAAACACTTAGGAGACTCCCCCAGGTGAGAGGGTTGGTGGTGAGGTTGGCACAACATACAGAAGACCCTCAGACTAGACCCCAAAGAAAGCCATGATAGAGTAGAAAAGCCAACAGTACAATTTCCAGCAAAACCGAGTTGCCATGAACAAGACATCACCTCATCTTGCTTCTTTGAATTTCTGTTCTTAAAGTTTCATGTTTTGTTAACATTTGCCATTTTATTGATGTGGCCGCACTGGGTTTTACTTTTTATTGTGAATTGAGTGATAGTTTACATGGGAGAGCATCGGTTTTGCATGCAACCAGTTGTATTTAATTTCATTGCAATGATTACAGTCCCTTCCAGGCACCATCGATTAACAGTATTTGCCACTATTCCTTCTTCTTTTTTTTTTTTTTAATTTACACAAAAACACACAGGAATGATACATTCATTTAAACGAACAAAGGGCACATTCTGGAAGCCTGCCTCCTGGTCGCCAGCACCTAGTCCCTCTCTTTCCATGAGTCCGGAGCCCTCGGCTGCTCCCTCTCTCCGTGTCCTCACCTCTGCCTCCATCTCTGGTGTCGCTGTTTCTCTTGGGTGATGGTTTTGTTTTCCTTTCTGTCCTGCACATACAGACGTAGACTACAGAGTCTGAGAACAGCTCTGGGCAAAGATGGAATTGTGGCAGAACCCTAAGGAAGGCTTATGCTTACAGGCACCATATTCTCCTGTAAATCTCAGCCCCAGACTGATTGAGTCGTTAATCACCCCCTTCTCCCTACTCCGGGAGCCTGACACTTTTAGCAGAGTACCCACCTGTGAAAATCAGTTGGAATGCTGTTCTTTTCTGAACACAGACAATGTGGTGTTGGACACGAGGGAGGCTCTACATTACCTCACAGTCAGGAGTGGAAATGAATATCTAAGCCCTCCCATGGATGTTTTTATTTTCTTTCTTTTTAAGAAGAGCTGATATAGCCATAGATAAATAGCTGACATGGGAAATTCAGCTTTCCCGTTTCTCTCCAGACTTCCATCACTGGCACGTGGTACCCAGAGCCACGTTCCACCATGGCTTAAACGGTGTTGGGGAGTTAAGGGGTACAACGACAATGCCAAGTCAGAAGCTCACAGTTCGAGATGCCCTCAGTGCTGTGGGCATTTTGTGGGTCCACGTGTGTCTTCTCACCCTCTTTCTGTGAAACCTGCTGCCCTCACCTTCTGTAGACCATCTGTGTGATACCCACTCAGCTTTCTGAAAGCACCAGAGGCGTGATGGTCTCAGCTGAGAAGAGGACCAAAGATTTTTGTGGTTTCCTTCTAGAATGGACAGCCAGCATGCTTGTCCCAGAGAGAGAGGGGTTGCATTTCTTTTCCTGGTCCCGGGTGACAGTTGGCATGTTGTTTCTCACCTCCCCACCCCCCTGCCCTGGTCTTTTATTGTATTTTAGTCTCTGGTTGGACTTACCGTGGCTGCTCAGTACTAGCAGGCTCATAGATTCTGGGAGTCTCCTAAGGCGAGAACTTCAGTACAGTTTTCCAGCTAAGGGACAACATGGATCTGAAGGGAAATTTGATTTCAATCCAACCTGGGCTGATTCTGGAAGTGAATCCATGTGACTCTAGTAAAACTCCATCTTTTTATAGCTAGTATCTGAAAATCAAAGAACCATGGCCATGACCCGCCCCCAAATGTCCTGAGTAATGCAGTTTAAGATCAGCTCCCTTCCTCGCATACTGCCTACAGCGAGCTTCTGTTTCTAAATTGTAAAGTGTGATGCCAACTCACTCAGCTCCCGCCCCTCCGTGGGAGAAAGGAGGTCAACTGCTCCTGGAAAGGTTGATAGTCTGGGAAACCCCAAGGAGCAACTTTACTCTGTCCTATAGGGTCACTGAGAGTCCTAATCGACTCGACTGCCTTGAGTTATGTTAGGTTACCCATGACAAAGTTTTAAAACTACAGATCTCCACTAATTAGCAAGCTGATTGGCTGTTACCGGGCTAACCATATCTCTAAAGAACAATTCAGATGTTAGCTGCTAACGTTCCTGTTTGAGACAAGAGGCAGAGCAACGCTGTTAAATCCACCCCATTACGCTCTGCTCATCCTCCATGCAAACCTGTCTCAGATTGGCCAGGTGACTCAGTCTACCTTTGTCACGACTTTCAGGGGGCCACTGGATAAGGCTCCGTGGACAAAAACAAACCTGTTTCATTCTTCAGGTGCAAGGGTTGCATCTCAGGAACAATCCCAAGAAAAGAATCCAGCCATGAGACCACACTCCAAACAGAAGTGAAGCCACACTGCGGAGCTCCATGAGGCAGGGTGTATGGGGAGGCCTGCGGGATGCACAAAATAGTCAATAAATGATAGTCGATATCAAGAGAGGGTTCCAAAAAGCTCATGGAAAATGAGATCAAAACGTAGTGGAAGTTTTCCAGGCACTTTCTGAAGTCCCACTGTGTGTCTATAAATATAGATCTGTGGCCCTGGTGGTACAGTGGTTAAAGCAGTCCATTGCTTAACAAAAGGTCGGCAGTTTGAACCCTTCAGCTGCTGGGGGTGGGGGTGGGGTGCAAGATGAGACTTCTGCTTGGAAACCCCATGGGGCAGTTCTCTGTCCTCCAGTGTGTCCGCGGGCTTGGTTTTGGTTTGTGTATGTAAAAAAGTGTGAGGAGATGAGTAATTAAATGACTAGTCCTCAGGTCACCCTGCACTTGCCCTGATGTAGAGAGGAAATGCTTATAAGGACTTGGCGGCACTCCTTCTTGGAGCCGTAAAGGAAGGGACAGACTGCTCCAATGTAGCTGAGTACGCGAACGCAGTTTAACGTCTTCTCCTGGTTCTGAACTGTAAGCATTTTGAGTTCTTGATGTCAGGTTATCCTTCTCGGTTTCACTCCTTCTGCATTCCGGGACCAGAGAAAGGGCAGGTGGTCACTTCGTAGGAAGGACACAAGCATGATTATCAGCTGGAGGCCTTTGAAAGGCCACCCAGGGCTGTCCCTATAGCTGCGACCTTCTGCCTCTCAGAAAGACCTCATTGCCCACACCCTCCCTACCTTTTCCAATCGTTAAGGGCTTAAAAAAAAATTCATACAGGGGAACAGAGAAAAGGAAACAAAAGGTTATTTCAACTTATAAACATAAAATGGAATGAGAAGGAGAGGTTATTAGATTCATTAAGGGTGTTAGATCCGACTTCCTCCCTCACATAATAATAATAATAATATTTTAACCGATAACTTCCCTATTGCTTTCAAAAGCTCTTCTTTTACATCTGTCTCTTGCAAATGGATCAAGCCTGCAAAAACCAGAAAAGGAGGCTTAGTCTTTGGAGCGCTTTGCTGGGTCTGAGCCCACTGTAAGTGCAATATGATGCTTGGCCTGTAGGTGGCAGGAGAGAACTAGTTACTAAGTGCCTCTCCTCTGGGTGGAAGGAAGTCTATCTCCTAAATGTATTTGGAGGCTTTGGGGGCCTTTTCCTAGATAAAAAGCAATGTACTTTAAAAAAGAAAGAAAGATTAAAATCTCACATTGCTATTCCATGAACACTGGCTGAGTCGAGTTTATAATCACCCAATTCTCCAAGCAGTTCTTAGTCTAAATGCCTCATTTCCTGGCATGCTTTTGAGATGTCTTTGAATGCAGAAGCTCCATGCTTGGAGGCAGCGGGAAAATCCTTCCAAGGAAAAAGGTGTGCGCTCAGGATTTGGGACTGAATCTTTTACTCCCAGGGAGCTGAGGGCTAACATCTTATTTTAGGATGAGCAGCTTTTTGAGAGTCTCCCGGTCTCCTTTTCTTTGTGTTAATCATAAGCACTTGACTCCTTTTTTGATCGTGAGGGGAGATTTTTAAATTTTTATTTTATTTTTCCATATTTTCACAGAGAAAATGTACTGACTGTTTTATACTGGTCTCTTTAGTTCAAAAGTGCAGTTACGACGATTCACCGTTAAGCTAGCCCTGCTTTTGAAGATTAACTCTTAAAGCAATTCAAATGGCTGTGATTTATGGGATTTCCCATCCTGATCCTTTTCATCTGCTATTTCCTTCAAATTTGAGCCTTATGGGGTATGATTTCGGGGTGGGGGACTCCAGTCTGCTTTCTCTTAGGTGGGGCTAAGTCCGAAACCAGTACCGGATGAAAGCATTTTCCATTCTGTGGTACAGGAAGAGGTGTTTACTGCTTTCGAAATTGAGAGCTCATGATTAAGTGGGCCTCCAAAAGCTTGCTTGACAAACTAGGTCTCTTCTAGCAAACGGCCCTCTGGGATATTCGCGAGGGATCCGAGTCTTCCTGAACCGTGGTGGTAACCCTCTCTGTAACCCATCCCCAGAGTCGATCAATAACAGCTTTGGTGGGACCTAATCGACGTAATCAATGTGGACGTCGTAATGGTTAGCTCAATGTGGACCCACTGAGTTGCCCCCATTTCTCTCTGCTCAGCTGGACCACGGGTTTACCATCAAGAGATCAGGGTCTTTGGACTACTACCAACAACC